TTGCAAGAGCTTATTCTTCAGACCAAATTAAGTCAAAAAGTCCTGTATCATTTTTCCTTTCAACAAACAATTATCGAGATATCGTAAGCTAAATATCGAAAAAGTTACCAAGTTTGCCTTGAATATCTCAAAAAGTATTAGGCAAATAAAAAAGTTTCAGACAAAAGTTGTTCAACTTAATTAGTAGAAAAAGCTCGCACAATAAAAAATAGAGGTTTTTATTTAAAAAATTTAACTTGGGCCCTGCTGAGCCCAACACGGGGCCAGGACCCAAAATCTAGTAAGATCGTCTATTGGCCCCTTTTGAACTCTGTAACTTTTTTCTGAAACATTTTTCTTTAAAATGTGTCGTTCAAGAGATATTTGAGGTCGTCATTTAAAATGGGACACCCTGTATACAATTTTATTATATGTTAAAAAGCATGAATACAAACTATACAAAATATTCTCTGCTTTAACTATAATTGTATGATTATAATTGTAAATATTATTTATTGAATGCGTGGGCGGTGGAGCTCCTCCCTGCCCACACGTGTACGCGGAATGAGGGTCTATCGTCTGTAAGGAAATTTGCTAATATGTGTACACAGTACACATATAGGCGGAAGTGGGTGAGGGTGGACCTTGGTTCGCGTGGAAAGTTGAAAACCCAAACCGTACAATGATAGACCTCTTTTCGCCCTGTAAGCAGGGATGGGGTGGGATGGAGTGGAGATCGCTTTGCATGGAAAGTACATTGCTGTCCAGAGAATCATCCACACGAAGCGAGATCCACCCCACCCCTGCTTACAGAACGAAACGAGGTCTATCATTGTACGGTTCGGGTTTTCAAGTTTCTACGCAAACCGAGACCTATGTATCATTGTATGTACAGTTCGGGTTTTCAACTTTCTACGCGAACCAAGTTCTATCCCAATCCTATCCCGTTTGTGGGGGAGGGACGGTAGCCCTTTGTTGATAAGTGTGTACTGTCTATACACACATATATCACAAACCGTTAGATTTCTTTAACTTTTTTGTTTATAACTTTTTAATAAACAATGACCGACAGCTATAAAACCTTCAGGTCACTCAGATGGGTGACCTTGACAGAGAGGCGTATCTAGGATCCTTTGCGCCCTTAGCAAAGATCTGTATCGACGCCCCCTCCCCCCAGAAAAAATAACATCTAATTTAATGTATATTAGACATCACAGACATCACAGACGCGCGCTACGCGCGCGCTATTTAGCAACAGATATACACTGTCAAAATTATGCTATGACAGCCGCTCACGAAGTTAGCGCAGCAAGAGAACCAATCAGCATTGCGGAAAAGAGTCAACAATAAACTTCGAGACTTTCGAGAAGACTTCGAGAGATGCGAGTATCGATTTAACATGCCTTTTTTTAAGATTTATTATTTATTATAGAAAAATAAGGAGGAAACATTTCTTTTTTAGATAGGAAACATTACTTATATAAATGTATATAAATTTATAAAAGTTACAATTTTATTTTTCTTGCCTTGGCTAAAGCGAATTCGGGCGAAACTTCCGAAAACGTCCATGCTCAGATTTAGGTAAAACTTTGTGAATAGGTTTCTTTTAGATAAAAAACACATATACCAAAAGGATTTTTTGCGACTCCAAAGTTTAGCAACTTTTTTAACATTTTTAACTTGCTGCCTCCGCGCATATACATTTTCCACGCGAAACAAACCAAAACAGCTCTCAAGTAATGTAAACAACCATAAAGTCATACCCGTCAAAGTCATAACATAAACATCATTGATGAAACTTCAGAAAATCAGAAACGTTATAAACTACGATGCATTATAGTTTTCGAGATATCAATTTATATAATCTATCACATAGTATAATAATATACACAGAATTAGCAGTGAGAAAGAGAGAGAGAGAGAGAGAGAGAGAGAGAGAGAGAGAGAGAGAGAGAAACAGTATACACGTAAGCGAGGAAAGAGCTACCGCACCTCCCCCGAAAACAAGGTGTGGGGGTGAACCTTGGTTCGCGTGAAAAGTGTATGAGTGAACTTTTCATGCGTGAAAAGTTAATATAAATTTTTAAATAATACTTTAATTGTGTGTGTATAAACAGTACACACGTAAGCGAGGGCGAGGGGCTACCGCACGCACCTCCCCCGAAAGCAGGGGGAGGTGGGGGTGAACCTCGAATCATCGGTTCGGGTGAAAAGTGTATGCGTGAACTTTTCATGCGTGGAAAGTTAATATGAATTTTTATATTGTGTGTGTAAACAGTACACACGTAAGCGAGGGAGGGGCTACCGCACCTCCCCCGAAAGCAGGGGAGGTGGGGGTAAACCTCGGTTCGCGTGAAAAGTGTATGCGTGAAGGCAGTAGGTTCCGCCTCCCTGCGGGGGGCTCCACTATTATTAAACTATAAACACATAGTGTGCCTCCAAAGTACATGCGTGAGCTTTCCACGCATGGAAAGTCTTAAACTTATGTGGCACGTCGTTTCGCGTGGAAAATGTATACGCAGAAGCAGCAAATTAATATATTTGTACTTTGTGTATGACTTTATGGTTGTTTACATTACTTGAGAGCTGTTTTGGTTTGTTTCGCGTGGAAAATGTATGTGCGGAGGCAACAAGTTAAAAATGTTAAAAAAGTTGCTAAACTTTGGAGTCGCAAAAAATCCTTTTGGTATATGTGTTTTTTATCTAAAAGGAATCTATTCACAAAGTTTCACCTAAATCTGACCATGGACGTTTTCGGAAGTACAGCACGAATTCGTCTATTATTGCATCTACATTTATGTGTAAAACCACTTTTTCTTATTGATAATAATGCAAGACTGGTTAATCTTTCTTGGTTCATCGCAGAACGGAGATAATTCTTTATTAAGTTGAACTTGTTAAAACTATGTTTGCAAGATGCTACAGTCACTGGTAAAGTTAAATAAATTCAAAGTGCATGCAGTCTTGATGTCATTTGTTGATGTCATTTGTTGAATAAAGACCGATTACGCGGGTATCCGTATTGTACCTGTATCGCACGGATACCTGTATCATGCGAATACCCATATTTATATGAGTACCTGTATTACACGTGTACTCGCACCCTGGCGAAAATAAAAATCGGAACGTAAGTCAAATGTAAGCGAAAAGTGACAAAAACGTAAATGAAATTTCTAGGAAACGTAAGTTGGAAGTGAAACATAAAAGATGCATTCCAATTTATGTTTCTTATATATATATTATATATATATATATATATAAGTTTTGTTTACTCATCTATCATTCTCCTCTTATGCTCTGATTTTTATTTTCACCAGAGCATCAGGCAGGGCTAACACATCACATTAATTTAATCTAAATATGTAAGAAATAAAATTCGACATTTTATGTCAATTTTAATTTGGCAAATTTAATAATAAAATATGTTATAATAAGTTATTTTAAATATTTTATAAATTTTTAAATAATTTTTAAACTCTACTGTCTCTGGAGATCAATCTTCATACTGTACGTCTCGTCATTTCTCCTATCGTTTATCTCCCAGCTTTTGTCTAAATTCATTACCTTACACAAATAACTAGTCAGATTTCTGGGGTAATTTTTATGTACCCCCCCCCCCCGGGCCAGCGGCCCTGGCGAGGGCCAGTTTCGCCAACCCCTAGATACGCCTCCTTGACAACATCAAGGCCAAAGTCATCGAAGAGTGGTCCGTATCTCTGCATAATTACCACAATCTTACACATAATTGCACATAATTCCGCAATTCACGCAAAAACATGAAAAATATTCTTACAAAATCCGTGCCTTATAATAATAAATTGTGTGCAATGTTATCTTGTAGACATTAAAAAATTATATAGAACTGTATAATTACTTAGATACTGTGCATCCTTCCACTAATTTCGTTATAAAGATTTAACTAGATTGATCTAATTGGAGCTACATCTTTTATAGATCATCACTCTCTGACCAAAGAGTTGTTCGTCAAAATAATGTACAATGTCAAAATCAAGATTAGTATATCCATTGGAATTAGTAGTACCGTAAAGATATTTCAACATTCAAATGTAACACGTGGATGCTAATACAATCCACTTATCTTCTATGACGTCCCAGATAAGCTTTACAGTTTGGACAGGTATGATGAACGTCCATGCATTCGTCGATGCAACATGGAATCAAGCAGCAACCAAACCAACATCTAATATAAAAGAAAACAGAAATTGTGCATTACAATAAATTATACCTATATAAATATAACGCAATGTAACTCAAAATATTAATCATAATTACCCCAGCAATGCTATAATAACACCTGAGATATAAGCGATCATCCCAGGTTCAGTTTTTGTTGTTGTATCTATTTCAGCATGGCAATGTGGACAGATTGTATGAGTCGACTGTGGTCCAAGCGGAACAATAGTCGTGACTATAGTAGGCCCATTTGCATCTGTAAAATACAGAGCACAGAAAATACAATTAGTAACATGTATATTTTCATCAGTTAATCAAGTAATTTTCATTAATTAATATAAATTCTATATCTTCTCAACATACAAGTTTGCGCAGGTGTAAACGGACTAGCTGGAGGAACGCCTCCCACATTTTGGGAGTAAGCAGGCGGCGCATAAGGTGGTGGTTCATAAGGTGGCGGCGGTCCATTCTTATGCATGATGTTCTTCTAGCTGTCAATATGAGAAATTTGATATGATGCGACGCCCAAATATTCAAGGATTTTCATATTTTATTAATTTAGCAGTACCAAGATTTTGCAATAATACGTTAAAACAGTACATGTAAATCTAGATAGGTGAGGATGTATTTCAATTTATATGATTTAATTTACATGAAAACAAAAGACCATGTTAGATAATAAAGTGATCTGTAGCATTGTTTATCGTTATATTTTAAACGTGACGCGCGATGCTAAAAATATAAATCAATGCGGGGACAACGAAAAATTAAGAGAAACGATAAGGGGGTTCGTCGATGGCTGCTTGAAATCAGTAGCTTTTGGTCGTAAAATTTCGCGCAAAAAAGAAAAACGAAACGGTAGAGCACGCGAAACTCGAGCGAATCAGACTGTTGTGTATGTACACTGACCGGCAGGAATGCCTGGACATTTTGATATGTATATGACATATATGTACATGTATATGTATATGTATTATGTCCAGGCATTCCTGCCGGTAGAGTGTACGCCCGATGAAACAAACGATGGATCTCGTGTCGAAGGACAGTATAGGTCAATCAACGTGCGAATGCCGATTGCGAAATTTGACGCACATCCTGAACAACATCCCCACCCTGTTTTGGTCTACGTTTCGGTCACGATAGCGTGTCGCGATAACGTAATTGCGTCATAATTACTTACTTGTCCTCGATAAAGCGATAAAATCGATTCTTTTGTGATTATTGAATCCACGACGATCGTTTTCGATCCTTAAAAGTTCCGCATGCAACACCGAATCATCCGTGGTGATACTGGTGATCCGTGGCTTTGCATAAACAACGAGTGTAGGTGTCGTGTATCTGTGTGTGTGTGTGTGTGTGTGTCGCGCGAGTGGATTTGCGTGTGTTTGTGCGCGCGTGCGTAAATAAGATGCTTTCCAGCAGAGAGAAGAGAGAGAGTAGTCCAGGAGGTCGATTGTGTATCTTGAAACGAGGTGAAATAAATTACAAAAATGAACAGATTTACTAGATTTTGACAAATAAAATCGTAGATATTCTAGCGAATTTCCTCACTTTTGTAATTTTTACCTCGTTTCAAGATACGCAATCGAGCCCCAGGCTTTCGCATACAAATTGCCATAACCATAAGTGTAAAACGTAAACATAAAGCCCCTCCTTGCACAATAGACGATAAGCGGGGAGCACACACTTCTGCACAACGCATAATGCGTAAGCATAAGAAAATTGATTGGTCCATACACATATGCATAAGGAAATAGACCAATCAGTTCTCTTATGCTTACGCATTATGCGTTGTGCAGAAGTGTGTGCTCCCCGCTATAGCGACAGCGACATTTATTGGGTGCGTTCGGGGAGCTCGCTACCGCGCTACCAACGCTAACACTATTTAACTCCGTTCATGGAGCCATGATAGCGCTAGCGAATCCGAGCTCCATGACAGTCCATGAACAGCAGTAGTGTACATACATACTCTATAGCGTAGCGTTTCGTAGACCCCTGCGCCACCAAATTTGAAAACCTGAGTTAATAGATGCTGCTGTATCAATTACTTCTTTAATATTTTTGAAAGTAGTATGTGTGTAAATGAATACGATTCATTTGTAGTAAAACAACTTAAAGAAACTATTTTACAAAATATAAAAGAGCGATTTCCAATTCATGAAACTCATGTTCGCGGAGCACTTCTCGATCCGACTCTTCAAAGCGTTAGAGGTATTGCTGAATATCTCGCAGACAAGCAGCAATCTCCTGAGGTATTTTTAATATATATGTGACATTATTTTTATATAAAATAAGAAATCTAATTAAATATATTTTTTAATAATATATCCATATTTGGTTCCATTTGATTATATGCTATATAGAATTAATTTATACTTTTAATACAATTAAAAAATTAGTGTATATAAATTTTGTCCATTATAAGCTATATATAACTTTTATTATAGTTTTTATAAACTATAATATATGTAAGCAATACCTTAGTCTAGATAATTTACAGTATCTAGATTTACAAAATCTAGGCTTAATATTGTAATTAAGCCTAGTATATATAAATCTTACATATATAGTTTATATTTGCAACAGCTTCTATATTAATCACCAAATATAAGGTTATTATTTTTATGATATATATAAGTTAGATTCTCATGTTTAGTTTTACTTTTTCATAATAGGCATCTAATAAAGAAGCAGATTGTCCTAATAAGTCGTGTGAGCTTCATGGAGTTAAAAAATTACGATTGGAGTTGGCTGCAAAACATACAAGCATTATTCCTTCTGAAGATCCTATTCTTGTCGAAGTTAAAAAGTATTTACATATGTTAGAATCTATTATCGAAGATCCTCTACAATGGTGGAATAAAATAAAGTTGTCACTGCCGAATTTGTACAAATTGGTATGCTGCATTTATGCCATACCAATTACAAGTTCAGCATCTGAATGCGCGTTTTCTTCTGCAAGGAAAACGGTTGCTTATCACAGAAAAACATTCTTCGTTAAAACCATCAAAATCTAATAAAATATTATTTATTTACGATAATTTCAAATTAATAAAAGATATGTATTTAAAGTCAGTAAAATAAGTTTTACATTAAATATAAGTTATATTATTCATATTATTTATACAACTTAATATGTGAAGAAATGTTTAATAAGTAAGAGAAAAAGAAGTCTAATATCTGATGGTTATACAATGAATTACATTTTGTATGATGGTCAGGAATAACATTTTAAGATAAATTTTCTTTTCTTTTGTGAAAGAAAAGACATTAGTAATCCTAATAAAGTAATTGTATTTTAAAAACAAGTGCTGAGTATTTATTGTTTGCTATTGTTGTTCATACCGATAAATTATCATCCGCCAATTTCGCCGCCGCTGAAAGAGAAAATTATTATCTAAGTATATTATATATATATATATATATATATATATATATATATATATATATACATATATATATCTGTTTCTATATAATCCATATTTGTAACTTCGTAATTAATGCGATATTCACAATACGTGTGCACACGCAAAGCTCTTTCTTCAAGATCAAGCCATGGCCTCCTGAAGTTCGGCCTGTATAAAATCCGAGGCCTCCCTTCTGCTTTCTTAGAGATACACTCTCGGCGGGTTGCCATTAACCCTTCCGAGAGGTGGCGACCAAATAAAAACCGACGGATTTTCGGTCGGATTTGAACTCGGATCTTCAGCTGATTAGACCAGCGCATATCTTTCTGCGCCATGATCGCCACCAGCCTCTTTCTTCAAATAAACAATCACAACAATTCACTACCATTCACTATTGCGCTGTTCAGCTAGAGCCTGTAAACGCTAACGCTATTAATGCACTACCTCGGAAGGAAGAGCGTTGGTAGCGAGCAGTTATGACATATAACACTACCAGTAATGACGTCACCACAGCGTTTGGTAGCGCTATCATAGAGCTCCGCGAACAGCCAATAGCGCTAGGTAGCGCTAATAGCGTCTCCTCGAACGCACCCATGATCGACTAACTTATCTTGTTTAATACCATCTCTACTTAAACGAGCTCGTAAAACACGCCACGAACTCATATGACAACTCGTCTCGTGTGAAAAGTGTATGCGTGGAGGCAGTAGGTTC